GCCCCACATTTCTTCTTATTACTGAAAATAAATATTTAAAAATATATAAAATGCATTTTCAGAGACGCCAAGAGGCCTCACTTGCAAAATATTTCATCTTCCTCGGCCTCTTGGAAAAAAAGTACCAACACACACACACACACGCTAATGGGGAAAAGTACCCTGGAGTCCTTTGACAAACTTCAAAAGAAGGACTTGTTTTTTTTTTCTTCTTCTTCTTCTTTCTTTCAGAAGCAACCCAACTCTATTTAAAGAGTCTGTGGCTTCAAACTGTATTTACATAACTTTAATTCACTCTCTAATTAAAGCTCCAGAGATCCACAGTGGAACTCGAACTCAGAATAATTAAAAATAAAGACAACAGTGAGACAACAGTGGAGACTATTTTGGAGAGACCCTAAATGCTCAGGTGCAACTGTCTGTTAATTCAATCCATTGTTAGGTGATTTATAATGGATTCCAATACGGGGGAGAATTTTCAGGTATTTTGCTTCGCAGTATTAAAATGCTGATTGCTCCGTGGGGGAAGGACTCTTCCTTCTTCTCAGTGATTTTGCCATTAAAGGGAAGCCACAAAAGTTTCCCTCCTCCTACACACTTTAGTTTGGCAATTATAATACATATACTTTACTGCCTTTGTTATGACTGTCTTTATGTTCCTCTTTTAACAGCGTGTTTTTTACTTGGCTTTACAGCCGTAGGTTGGACTGTTGGAAAGAAAATCTTGTCGTGTTTCAAGTGTCATTTCCAGCTCGTATCATTTTAACATTTCAGGTCTATGGATTTTGGTGTTAAACCCATTCCACAGTATGATATTGAGAGCTCAGTAAAGGTTAAGACCAAACTACGGCCCATGGACCAGATACAGTCCACTGGGCTTTCTAATCCAGCCTGCCAACCACTGGTCCAGAGTATGGGAAAGACTTCCATTTTGTGCATTACAACAAATCGACTGTGAGTTCTGTTGACGCCACTAAATGGTGGCAGACATCTGATGTGGCAAATCCTCTTCAAAAGTTTCGTTTTATCCTTGTACATTTGCTTAATTAGTCGGTTTCATAGCGTAGCTGTTAGCACGCCTGCCTCGGAAGCAGAGAGTCCTGGGTTCGATTCAAATACAACGATACCAATTTATTTATTTTAAATATTCTACATCCGACCAACACTGGAGAGCTCTGCCTCATTTTGGCCGGCGAGCCAGAGTTTGCCCACCCCCGCCTGATACAGTTATTTATTTATTTGTAATTTTAAAAACCTATTCTTTGTCTCTAGTGTAAGCTGCTGGTGCTGCAGGAGCTGCCTTTCTACTGTGAGGACATGTACACAAAGCTGCATACTCCACTCCTGGAGGTGTACTGTACTGTAGGTGTGTAGACTCTGCCAAATGATATACAGTTTGGAGCTAGTAGAAAAGTTGGATACAAGCTGGGAGGACAGGGCCTTGTGAAAAAGAAAGGAAAGAAATGTGAATGTGAAATGAAAAAAAAAAAAAAAAAATCTGCCCAGAATGAAAGAGCGCATTCTTGAATAAAAATGGAAACTAGATGTTCCATGAGACCCCCCCCTCCCATCTCAGAGCCGTGCCGCTGCGGCTAAGGATGGCCTTGCGATGTTTCAAGTTGAGAGTATTTGCTGAAATAGAATCAATCTTTTAGACAACGTTGGTATAGATGTAAAAAAAAACAACAACATGCAATTCACAGATAACTCGCTAATATTAGCATCGGTGAAACTCTTCATTCAAATATTCCTACTTGAAAGTTCCACACCAGCGACCTCATCCTCCTTAAGTGTTACATTTAGCTGCTTAGCCGCAGGGTTAGTGTTTTTTTTGTTTTGTTTTGTTTTCTTCTTCCACTTCAGCGTCTCGATGTCTTCACAGGTAGTTTATTAAATTAGGTCAACGATAACAGCAGTTTAGATTCATGGAAATAACTCTGCACAGTTTGAGTGAAGCTGCATACGATGAAAGCAGGAGGCAGCGTGAAAGTTCTGCTCCGTTTCTCTTCAGACGCCTGTGCTAACGGTGCATGATGACCAACATTAGAATACAGCAGCGTAGGCCTTCACTGTTAGCTTCCACCACAGGAGAGATGTTTAGAAATGATCTATAAAGATGTTTATGTTTAAATGTTGTAATAATTGTGCGTGGTATTTCAGATTTATTCAATTGAAAATGTAAACGTGAAAATGTGAATTTACACTAGAGAGTGCTCGCGTACCACCGATGTTATGCATACCACAGTTTGAGAACCACTGAGCTAAAGGAAACAAAGGACCAGACTCTCACTTGAAGCGGTTTCTGAAACTGGTTTGTGATTTCAGAGGTGACGTTTCAGTAAAGTAGAAAATATTGACAAAATGAAAAGATACCGTAAATATCAAACACAACGTCAACAAATAAATCCTGAGAAGAATGAAAATGAACAAAGTCAACGTGTTCATTCGTTCGTTGATCGTTGAAGTCGTGATCAACATCACAGTTCCCAGTGGGCCGGTCAGATGATTCTAGTTAATCACATTAGCGTTTTCACTGGGAACAATAATCCCACGTGCTGTAACTTCTTTAAAGCAGACGTAGAATGAAATATCGTTAGAATGCTGCTCAAAAAAATTGCTTTCCCTCGGTAATAAAACCACACAAAAGACAATAATAGTGATATATATCTGCAATTACCTGAGTACATTAGATCATCGGGATCCATAACTCATTTTCACTCATTGCCCTGAGTTCTACAGGAAAGAGGACAAAACCGACCTCCGT